CGTGTCTTAGCCCCCATCATACATGTCCTGGATCACTCTAATATATGCTACAGGCACACCTCCCGCCTCTAAACATCTCCATAGAACTTCTTTCGGTACTTTGTCATAGGCTTTTTCCAGGTCAATGAACTCCATATCGTAAATCCTTCTTCACCGCCCTATACCGCTCTACCAATCTCCTCACAATGTGTATGGCCTCAGTAGTCGACCCGGCATGAAACCGAACTGGGTCTCAGAAATGGACACAGACCTCCTCAATCTCCCTTCAATCACCCTCTCCCACACTTTCATCGTATGGCTTAACAACTTGATACCCCTATAGTTGTTGCAGTTTCGGACATCCCCCTTGTTCTTGTACAACGGAATCATCGTACTCCGCCTCCACTCTTCGGGCATCTTCTTCGTCCTAAAAATGACGTTAAACAACCTAGCAAGCCATTCCACGCCCTCCTTTCCCACACTCTTCCAGAATTCCACCGGGATCTCGTCCGGCCCAGTCGCTCTACCCCTACTCATCCTGCGCATAGCCTCTTCCACCTCCCCCACTCGTATGCGCCTACAATCTCGTTGCCGCTATGAGTACTCCAACTCCCCCAATGCGATGCGCCTATCTCCCTCCTCGTTCAAGAGTTTATGGAAGTACGCCTGCCATCTCCGCCTGATCTGTGCCCCCTCCAATAAAACTCTTCCCTCCTCGTCTTTTATGCATCTCACTTGGTCCAGATCCCGGGCCTTCCGCTCCCTCACCTTAGCTAGCCTATACAATTTCTTGTCCCCGCCTTTAACCCTCATTTCTTCGTATAAATGACTAAACGCTGCGGCCTTAGCTGCCGTAACTGCCAACTTCGCCTCTCTCCTAGCCTTCTTGTACCTCTCCCTGTTGGCACTCTTCTGCCCCTCGTCTATATTCTCTACTAGTTTCAAATATGCCGTTTTCTTTGCTTCCACTTTTCTTTGCACCTCTTCGATCCACCACCAGTCCCCTTTATAGCCACCAGAAAAACCCTTTGAGACCCCTAACACCTCTCTCGCCGCCTCTCTAATACAATTTGCTGTCATTGACCACATACAGCTCGCGTCACCGCTACTCTTCCAGGCCCCCAAAGCCAGCAACTTCTCCCCCAACTCCTGGGCCTTGTCCTTAGTCAATGCACCCCACCTGACCCTAGGAATACCAGACTTAGCCCTCCTCTTCCTCGTCCACCTGATCTCTAAGTCCATTATCAAAAGCATATGCTGGGTCGTAAAAGGTTCTCACTCGGGATGACCTTGCAATCCGTGCATAGACCTCTATCACATTTCCGGAGAAGCAGATAGTCAATCTGGGTCTTGGCCACCGTACTTCGAAAAGTTATCAGGTGCTCCGCCTTCTTCGGGAAACACGAGTTAGCAATCACTAGCTCAAAAGCTTTAGTGTACTCCAGCAGCGAAGTACCTCCTCCGTTTCTATCTCCAAAATCGAAGCCACCATGCACACCGGCATAACCCCCAGGCGACCTCCCTATGAGGCCGTTAAAATTACCCCCTATAATAAGCTTCTCGGTGGACGGTATACCCCGCACCAACCCATCCAAATCCTCCCAGAATTGTCTTTTAAAATGCCTACCCCGTTCTTCCCTCTCACCCTCCCTGAATACCACAACTTAAACCCATCAGCCTCCCGAGCCCTGTTCCCCACCCATCTAGTCTCCCGGACACAAGCTATGTTAATCTTCCTCTTATGGAGAATCTTTGCTAACTCTATTGACTTTCCCATTAGAGTCCCTATATTCCATGACCCCACTCTCAACCTAGAAGGTGCCTTACCCCCCTGCCACCCTTCCCCTCTATCCCTCGCTCCCACCGCTTCCCCCGAGGACATGCCCTCACTCTATCATAGCTCGGCGCTGCCACTAGACCAGCACAAAGCTAAACAAAATAGACTACAAAGGAATAGGCTAAACAGAAACCTACAGGTACACAAGTGTTAATAAGGGTTCCGACTAAGCAGAGGCAAACTACGTATCAACTATCACTAAAGTTATAGACAGGGGCAGCTATAAGCAGACAAGGTCTAATTAAATAAAATTTAAACAGTATACCGTAGATATCAAAGATACAGGAAGCAAAAAGAAAGGAACGAAAAAAATATAACAACAATAAAAAGGATACCGATACCGCGAATACCAAGTACAGAACGAAAGAACCTGGCACAAGTTTTCCTGAAGCGTGTCAGATCTGCTCAAGAGCGCTGACAAGTCCTGCTGCGTCCTGCCGGAAAGCTGTTCGGAAGTCGCCGGGATTTATGAAACTTGCCGGAAATTTGTACCCACCGGAAGATAGTCCGTCCTCGCCGGAAAAGAAATCTGCACCTGTCCAAAAGAAATGGACACACCCACACACATACAAAAAAACAGGGGGGAGGGAGAAAGAGGAAGAGAGAGTGGAAGAAGACGAAGGGGCAAGTGTCACCGGAAAATCACCACCGGCAGGTCGCCGGAAACCAGGGGTCTCCGGACTTGTAACAACTTGCCTGAAACACACCCTACCCGACTCCGGCGGCGAGAACAGAAAAGAGGAGAAAGAAGGGGGAGAGAAACAGACGAGAAAGAAGGAGAAGGAGAGAGAACGAGAAAGAGAAGGAAAGAGGGAGGACTTACCTGGAGCAGCCCCTGCGGCGGCGACGTTGACGGCAAAGCAGCAGATGCCGGCGTGGGTGGGTGCCGGCCTGGGGGGGTGGTTAGGGGCTGAGCAGTTAACGTTAGGGATATTGTAATACAATGAAAATCAAATTTTGAAACATCTAAACAAGGATGAAAAAGAAAAGAGAACAAGAAAACAAGAAAAGAGAACATAACAATAAAGTCTACTGGAAATTTTGCATTACAGTACAGAACTCAATAGAATATTGTTTATTTTCTTCGACTATGCATTAGAATCATTAGTCAGATTAGACTACTAAAACTAGAGGAGGTCCAAATAACTAGAACCAACTCTACTTCTCTAGGTTAGCACTACTATTTTCCTGTTTATTTCAACTAGTATACGTACCCGCGTGATGCGCGGATTGTTTCAAAGAAAAAAATAATATAGTAAAAATATGTCTTTAAAATGGATTAGACCACCTGAAGAAGCAAAAATTTGTCTGAACTTATAATTAGAAAAAAACAAAGAACAGTTATACATATATGTGTAATCCACAGTAATTAAGAAATCACCTTTTGTTGTGGCTTATTTTGGATAAGAAGTATATGAGAATATGAGCAAGTTAGTCGCGTTTGTTGAAGATACAAACGACGACTCACATGGATAATTAAGATCTTGGAAACACCCAATCCTTGTTAGCATAATTTATATAACAGTTTTAAGTGTTAGATAAAATGCATACATTAAAAATATTAATTCTCATCAAGATTTTATGTCACTTACAAACATACCATTGATGTTGTTGCAATAAAAAATACCTTCATGAGAAGCTACATGTTCCTTTACAGCTGAGGCAAAGTTCTCTGTTCCATACTTAAGGTTATTTTTTATGACCTGTAGAAATAAATGTATGTACAGACTATTAGATGAAATAATAAGCACAACATTTGGTACTCTTAGTGAAACAAAAGAATGTGAAATGTTAGAAGATTTACGAAAAATACGTTGTCTTTATTGTTGCATGTGAATCAACCCTCAACCACACATACATAGTTGTATAAAAAGATGGCAACATTTATTACATTCATTCTAACTACTATTGCTGTTGAAAGTCCACCATTAAGGAAAATTATCTAAATTAGAAACATCTCCATTGAATTTATACAACAAAGATATTTTTTTAGCTGGAGCTTTTTAAAAAAAAATACATTTATCACCTAACGATAACAGTCTTAATTAGATCATATTGTTTTATAACTTGACCACTCTCTGCTTGTTTGAGGCAAGATAAATGCGGAGACCTAATTTTTTTTTACCGGTCTAGTAAACGACAACCGCAACTATCAGACTCAACATATCAGATGGCTTTTTTAGACGGAAGATCCGGATCCAGTCTCCGTTAAAATATGTATTTTTCTTTATAAAATAAAGATTTCATTAAAGGGCATCCCTGGCTCTTAAATTAAGTTAGAGCCCACAAAATACAAAAATTGAATTATATCATTTATACCACAAAAATTGTTCCAACCAAACAAATTTGATGTCTCCGTTAAAATTTGTAGGTCGAGTCTTGAGATGTAGCTGGAGGCTAAAAGTGGACAAACCGCGTAAAAAACCTCAATGGGGAGTTAAAATTTTGACTTTATTTGTATTTAATTACAACAGTCTCCAGGGGGGAATCCATTCTCCAGTTTTTTTAAGTAGAATACTGAATTACAGATCGGCTGCATTAAGATTTATCTCAATTGGACTACTGTAGCTCTAACCCATGAACTTTCAAAACATTTGACAAACTAAACCACTGGTGAAAAGTCTAAAGAGCAGATCAATTTTAAATAAAAATACCTTGCAAACAAGTAATCCGAAGAAATGCTTCCCTTCAAGTAATCCCAGAAGAGTAATGTGCCACAACGGGAAAAAAGAATACCTAGTTGTACAGAATACCTAGTTGTACATTTTCCTACTATATCCATATCCTTCTGCCCCATACACTTATTCAATCATACAAATTTATATATATAAGAATCTAATGAATAAATGCAGACACCAACCTAGCGTGAAAGCTGAAAACTGAGTAGGCGTGGTATATGCGATTTCGCAATTTCAAGCTTAATTCTACCACGGATCTCCGAATAACACTCAGAACACACTCCTAAGTCCCAAATCGCCTAACGAAGCTATTTGAATCACCTAAGTCCCATAATATATATTACTAACTACTCAGAGATATGTAACCATCTACTTTTGTTTATATAGATTCTCTATTAAAGTCAAAAATGGTGATGGCCTAGATAATGGAGAAGAGACCGTAGAGATAACTGTTTATGAGTACTTCACTAAACAATGTAACATAGAAATTGCATATTTTCTTAGTCAGGGGCTCACGACCACTGTCAGCTCTCTTCTAAACGTGCTTCTACCTCCCTCCTTTTATATGTGCATTCGCCAGGAAATATGTTAGTCCAACAAATGAATCTATTTAAGACACGCAACACATACAAACAGAAATATAATATGCACTTTGTCCACCTCCATTTTTCAGCAGAAACATTCCATTCCAAGAATTAAAAATTTCAGCAGAAGCACTCCGTTCTATGGTTTCAGACCTTTAGCAAGCAGAAAGAATTCTGTATAAAAAATGCACGGAAATGTGTTCTACTCCAACGTCTACTGTCGAAGTGATTTTCAATTGTAACAGCACTCCATCAATTACTATTCTCAGGTTAGCACTTCATTACCTGTTGAAGGCGATCCATTGTTCTGAGTCGCCTGGAAAATTCATATTCGTGCAAATCCACAATTTAACTGAAGTGATTAACTGCAAATATAGATGTAAAATTTAATAAATAAAAGTACTTCCCTGTGATTAAAAAACAATTAAGTTATAACAGGATATATCAAAGTAAATTAAATTTAGAAGAATGTTTACCTCATCCAATTTTTTGTTTGTCCGTAGTATGACCAACTATATACTGAGTATGTACATTGACGGGCTGCTCATTCATACTTATTAAAAACTTCTATTCTCTAATTTCTTTGTACACTACATTTGTAGCTTCATTTGTTATTTT